AGTTGTCTGCGAGAGTTTCGCTTGTCTTTCTTGATCTGAATCTGAATTTTTCGGTTTATCTTTCTCTCGACAGAACTCTCTTGACTGCGACAGCAATCCATGCAATCCATGGCATCACACCATTTGTTTGCCACTAATACTGACACCAAAAACCACTTAATCAGTGGAAAACTGTGGCCTACATCTGATCGTAAACACGAATATTCTTCATGTGTTGAGTAAATAAATACTAAAACTGTTTCATTATTCGTGTCATCTCTGCATCACTTTATATACCATAAGAATATTTATGACAACCGATTGAATCTGTTTTATAGCAAAAGGCATCGCTTTATTGGCGCACAATATAACGATTCCTCAGTTATTTTCATTACTTTCTCGATATAAACAAATTAATTAACTGTTTTATCTCATAATATTGACTTTAATTCACTTTTATTTCTTTTGTATAAACATTTTCAGACAATATTTTTCTCATTTATCACATGTTTTGTATCAAATTCTCGGAATAATGTTCATAAAAATAAGGAATTTTTAAGAATTACATTACATTACAAACTACAGTAATTTATATACAATTAAAAAAAGTAAATTTATTTAAACTTATAAATGAATTAGATTAGAAAAATAAGCGTAATGCTAATATAAAATAATCTATGTTGTTAAGAATTATATAAACTAATATTAAGAATTCAAACCAATAGTTGGTTTCAATTAATTTAAATCCGTTCAGACTTTTTGTATGTCTTTTTCCGTACAACAGGTTTAGTGTAATGTTTTGAATGTGTCTTAAGNGAATTATATAAACTAATATTAAGAATTCAAACCAATAGTTGGTTTCAATTAATTTAAATCCGTTCAGACTTTTTGTATGTCTTTTTCCGTACAACAGGTTTAGTGTAATGTTTTGAATGTGTCTTAAGTACTGTCTCTGAATGACTAGATTTGTGTACAATTGTGGACAATAAGCGCCATAATATAGGATGTACGCATGGATCCATTCAATGTTGAGTCCCTGTTTAATTGAAAAATGAGATAAATCTTTAAATTTTGTGGTAACACTTGTATAATCCAAGCCTTCACTTCATCGATACCAAGTGATGGTAACTCTTTCATCAGTGGCATAGACTCTGTCGTAAAGATCTGTAGACTTGAGATGATATAAAGACTATAGAAACGAATATTCTCTCCAAATATGTTTCGTTTCGTGGGTTTAAAGAAAAGTTTGTCGTCTTTTAGAGATTCAATCAATTCATCTCTTGTTGTCATTATATTCATACGAGACTTAATTGCAATGACTTCCAGATCTGTATTATTGGTTTGGTTGACAATCTGCCAAACCTTGTCATTGAATGAATCAAATCTGTTTAACCACTGAATCCACTGATCGTCTTCACTTCGAGTCGGAATCATTTGATGTAATGTTTGTATTTTAGATGAATTGATGCCATTTTCGCAGATAACTGTCAAAGATATGACATAATATGAAACAACGATTATGTGAAAGACATTCATTTTATGTGAGAAAATTGAATAATTATTTATTAATTTAAATTTTGAATTCAATGTTGAAGTTTGAGACAATAATCAGTTATTAATTTATAAAACATAAGACAAGATTTTATAACAAAATTTTTATTTGAGATTAAGAATTGTATTGAAATTGTAATTATACTCACTTATAATTTTCAATGCAAAAATATTAATAATACAAAACATAATAATACAAAATAAACTTTATGCGAAATAACATGTAATAAGTTGTGAATCAATGAATATACAATCATTTCATAAAATACAAAACTATAACATATGAAAGTTGATTAATTAAATTATTGGTATAAATGATTACATTTTAAAATATTCAGCTCATTGTTCATCATAAATTATATTTATTTTATATTGTTTTGAACATAAATTAAAACCTTGCAATCACTTACAAAACTTTGAAAACTAGAAAGTTGTCTTAAATTTATCTTACCAAGTAAGTATCAATCGACATGTTTCCAATACTTTATTTCAATGTATTTATAAACTGAATTAAATTAAGAAATCAATTAACAATTAATTAAGTTAGTTATTATTAATAATCAAAAAAATTATTAACTAATTAACTAAAAACCATTTGAAAATGATTGCCGAAAAAGATATAAAAATAAGAGAATCACACATAAGATAATACAGAATAGTATAAGTTATTGGATTTAAAAGGTTTCCTAAGAATTCCAACTTAAGGCAAAAGTTTTAATAATTAATTTAAAACATTAAGGAATATAAAAATTAAATCATATTATATTGATTGTAACTTTTGAGTCAACTTGTTAACTTTAATAAAACTGATTAATACTGTACCACACAATAGACTGCATTCATGAATGGGTTGTAAAGTACTGTTGGTCTCCATAACGACGTTTCAGGCGTTGATGGCATGAGAGGTGTTGTGCATTGAAGTGACTGTTAGACCAAAAAGTCATACATTTGTCACATTAGACTGCATTTGAAAACTTTTCAAACACTGTTTGCAAACCAAATCCAAGTGAGATGTCCACCACTTCCAGCCAATTGAAGCAATTGTTTGCGTATGTATTGCATGTGTTTGTGTCATACCATGAGGTGATCACAACGTGTCTCAATCGATGGACAGGTATATCGACTCGCATTCAGATGATTACGTGAAGCGTTTGGCCGAATGTGTGGCCATTAAGAGCATATCGTGTCAGACGGACACCAGGGATGAC